AAATCAGTTGCCTGATGCATTCACAGACACAAAGAAAGTGACAAAGTCACATATTCCTGCCATGAATGCCCCTGCCAGAATCGAAATCCCAACAGAGAATTCTGAAAAAAAAATTCAAACGATTCTTCTATACGCAAAAAGCGTGGCAGGCCACTTGGATCGAAAGATATAAAACCAAGAAAAACTAAAAGGCAGGAATCGATCTGTGATGCCAAAGATGTTCATCCTTCTGAACAAGAAAATGAACAATTTGAAAATATTGGCATAGAAAATGATATTGACAAAACAAATATCTCAAATGATGATCCAACTTTCTTAAATGAGGAAGATATTCCAGATAATGATAGCAACGTTGATAATTATGAAATTTCAATAAACTACGTTTTTACTGGAATGCAATGGAATCGTAAAGATATTGATATTAATAAGATATTTGTCTATGCCGTTGCCACAAATGTTATGAATGAAAACAATGACAATGATCCAACATCAATAGAAGAATGTCGGAAACGACACGATTGGCCGAAATGGAATGAAGCAATTCAGGCTGAATTGAAATCACTTGAAAAACGTGATGTTTTTGGACCGATAGTCCCTACGCCAAAAGGCGTAAAACCAGTAGGCTTTAAATGGGTATTCGTGCGTAAACGCAATGAGAAAAATGAAATTGTAAGATATAAAGCCCGACTTGTTGCCCAAGGGTTTTGTCAAATGCCGGGAATTGATTATGAAGAAACCTATTCTCCAGTAGTTGATGCAACTACATTAAGGTTTCTCATTGGCATGTCTGTTTTTGAAAGGCTGCAAATGCGCCTAATGGATGTAGTAACTGCATATTTATACGGTTCACTCGATACAGACATTTATTGAAAGTTCACGGAGGATTTAAAATGCCTGAAGCTTATAGCTCGAAACCTCGAGAAATGTTTTCCATTAAACTACAAAAGTCATTGTATGGACTAAAACAATCTGGACGAATGTGGTATAATCGTCTCAGTGAATACCTTCTTAAGGAAGGATATAAGAATGATCCAATTAGTCCATGTGTTTTCATCCAGCGATTAAATTCGGGATTCGCCATAATTGCAGTATATGTTGATGACTTAAATATTATTGGAACTCCCGATGAGATTGAAAATACTGCAAAATATCTTATGAAAGAATTTGAAATGAAAGATCTAGGGAGAACAAAATTTTGTCTTGGACTTCAAATTGAGCATTTGAAGAATGGAATTTTCATCCATCAATCCAATTACACCGAGAAAGTTTTGAAGAGATTCTATATGGACAAAGCTCATCCTTTGACTTCACCAATGGTGATTCGATCTCTCAACATACACGATGATCCATTCCGTCCCCGAGAAGATGATGAAGAAATACTTGGTCCCGAAGTACCATATCTGAGTGCTATTGGAGCTTTAATGTATTTAGCTAATAATACTAGACCAGATATTGCATTCTCCGTAAATTTATTAGCTAGGTACAGTTCATGCCCAACAAGACGTCATTGGAACGGGATCAAGCACATATTCCGTTATCTACGTGGTACAGTTGATCTTGGCTTATTCTACCACAAAGATGAAAAAGCTGCTTTAATCGGATATGCAGACGCTGGATACTTATCAGATCCTCAAAAGGCGAAATCACAAACCGGGTACGTATTTACTTATGGTAACACCGCAATCTCATGGAGATCTGTGAAGCAGACATTGACAGCTACATCGTCAAATCATTCTGAGTTAATTGCACTATATGAAACCGGAAGAGAATGTGTGTGGCTACGATCTATGATTCAACACATCCAAAATGAATGCGGTATGAAATCTATTACTTGTCATCCTACTGTGATCTACGAAGACAACACTGCGTGCATAGCTCAGATTAAAGAAGGCTACATCAAAGGAGACAGAACAAAACACATATCACCAAAGTTCTTCTCTACTCATGATCTCGAGAAAGAAGGGACGATCAACATTCAACAAATCAGATCCAGTGAAAATCCAGCCGATCTCTTCACCAAATCTTTACCCCCGAAGAAGTTCATGGAACTTGTACAGAAAATCGGCATGCGACATCTTCATAATTTATACTAAATTCAGGGGGAGTATTTGAATGCACTGCACTCTTTTTCCCTTCATAAGGTTTTTATCCCACTGGGTTTTTCCTGATAAGGTTTTTAACGAGACAGTACATCCAAATACAACGACATTATAAGTCGTAATTTTTACCCCTTAATTTTCACAATAAGTTTTTAAAATAATAGACAACTATTCAAGGATGAACATTCAAGGGGGAGTGTTGTAAAATCCTGGAAATGACAAGTGTGAATTGTTCATCCTTGTCATCAATCCAGAAATTATGTTTAATCCTTGTAACCTAGTTAGAACAGATGGCTCAAATTGTTATTGCCACCAAATCTGTAGATTCATCCCTTAAGTGACTAATCATCAAGTTCAAACAGTATAAATAGGAGCTTGATGAGACATTGTAAATTCATTCAGAAATTCAGAAATTCAGAAATTCTCAGATATTAAGAAAAAGATATTTAGAGCTTTTATTAATATATCTATCTCTCAAATTTAGTCTTCATCTTCTTCATTTTCATAACAGAATGGATTAAAATTGAGTTTAATAAATTACCTATTTTTCTCAAACTTTAATTTCATTACTTCGTTACCCTGCACACAAAGTAAAATTAAAGTTAGGCATTCTAAAAATTTTATAAAGAACTTTCGTCTTAGGGTACTCGCAACTCTCTCCACCAATAAATCAATCTATTCATTAGTGTATACATATTTATTCAGTCAATTTAGTTTGGTTCTGCAATTCAGCGTTGTCAATACATTCACCCACAAATTTTTAAATTAAAGCCTTACTTTTATTATACATCAATTTTTTGTCAATTTTTTTACAAATAATTATGATTTTAAAAGTCAAACATTCCAATGTAAAATAAATAAATGTAAAGTTTAGTTTTTTGTTCTTACTTCATATTTATTTTAAAAATAACTGAAAGATGTAAAATGATAGCATTTGGATCTACATAAGAAAAAAATTAGAGCTGGAAATCTCCTGGAGTTGAAATGTGGTGCAAAATCCAATATTACCTAAAAAGTGGAGTGCAAAGTCAAAATTCCACTTCTCAATCATCCGGATCCTATACTGACATATTCTATCTTTCAAGTCTCTGATTGGTAATTGACTTATATTTTAGATTATGAATTGGTAATTGTTTTCTTGGTATTTCTTCTTTGCTACACATGGAAGAAATGTCATTGAGATTAATTCGGCTGGATGAATTACAAATGAGACTTTTATACTCATGAAAAAATGCTAGAATTTTGATAGCACATATTTTGAACATATTTCTTCAAGGTTTAAATATGTTTTTTGTCCTTGCAAATATAGTACATTTTGGTTTACATCCCTGCAAAATTATTTTTTCCGGCCCTGTAATTTGTGTTGGTTTTCTTTTTAATCTATCACTGATGATAACAATATCCGTTTGATCTCAAACTAACCCCAATTAATAGATTTTCTCTAATTCTTTGACATGTTATTCAAAAAGTATTTAATTTTATTGTTCAGAAGATTTTTAATATATATTTTTAAAATGTGAATAACTAGTTTTACATTGTTTTAGGGTGTTGCTCCGTGCACCCTCTATAGTACTTAATGTAACTCTCGGGAGACAAATTTCACCTTTTTAAATTTTGATTGAAGATTCACAACCCACCCACTAACCATTTCAAAATTTCTCTCCTTCCATTAATTTGGTGCGATGTGGCCGACTAAACTTTGTCCACTTTTTTATAAGAATAAATTCCACATTTAGTCTACATCTTTTACTTTATCCACTTTTGATACATGACTATTGGGTTTTCGTCCATATATGGTCCTTCCGGCATTGTGTTCCGATGCTTAAAATCTCCGCAAAAGGATCACAAACGGTTAAAAAACATTAGTCAAGTACCAAAAGTGGATAAAGTGAAAGACGTGGACTAAAGGTGGAATTGACACAAAACTTGTAGGACGAAAAGTGGAATGAATTCTTTTATAAAAAATTGCAACTTTTTAAATTTTGCTTTAATTTTTTCAAAAAATGTCCAATTAATTAAATTATAATCTGATATTCCATTACATTATATCATATGGAACGAATGTGTCTTATTTGATCCGCCCTATATATATACTACATTCGTCTCGCTTAAAAAACTTTTCCCAAAAAAAAAAAGATTACATTCCCATCGTTAAAGGTTCTCGACGTAAAATGATACAGTTATTTAGACAATATCTAAATAAGGTGATTCGAATATATTTCGAGAAATAGTTTTAATGAGTATATAATTCAATGAAGTCATTTTTATTTTAGAAAACAATGGACACTCTTAAATGACAAACTAATCATTAAATATTAAAAATAATACATGTATAACACTCTTAAAAATGGAAATCTTCTAATTATACGTACTGCGAATTATGAGACGTCCAAAAATGGAAATCTTCTAATAGAGGGAATAGTAATTGTTTGATGATGGTTAGGATTTGTATTTTTGATTATATAGGGTTTGATTATGTTTTAAAGATATTTCTTTTTTTTTAAAGGTAGATGTGTCCATAAATAAAGAGGGACCGTAAAAAATAAAACCAATTTAAGAAGTTGTCAAATAGAGTGATAATAATGTCTAACATCTACCAAATAAAAACTAAGAGGTCTACGATCAAATCAAGAGGTGCGCCCAACAAATAAGAGGACAAATCAGTCCATTAATGAGCAAAAATAGGACAAATTTGGAGGTGCGCGGAGTCCCTCATTTGTTTTAATTCTCATATTAGCCTAACAAAATTATAAAAAAACAAATATAAATATTTCTAGTAGATTTATGTAACTGACAATAATTTTTTTTGTAAACAGAGTAATTTCGAAATTAGAAATTAACTAAAAACAAAATACTGCATATTGCAGAGAAAAAAACAAAAAATACTCCTATTTTTTTAGAGAGAAATGGAATGATTTGTGTTTATCTCGCTGGTCAGAATTAAACAATGCAAACTGTTCACTGTAATGCAAAAGGCATAGGAACCTTATGGATTGATGGAGTGGGATTTACTTAGTAAGAGTTCGAGGCGTTAGATATGAACCCTAAGTACCCTGAAGAACGAAGAAATACATACGCATACTAAGTTTTCTCTCTGTTTAAGTTCGTGTTCGCGTAGTATATTTGTTCAAGTTTCCATTTCACAATGGGAATCAAGGTACCTATAAACGGACTTGAACGCAAAGTTATCAAAATGCACTAGTATAACTAACTCATTTATAACCTGAAATTATGAACAAATTCAGGGTTTAATGAAGCTGTTGGCAGACAATGCTCCCAAGGCCATGAAAGAGCAGAAATTCGAAAGCTATTTTGGTCGCAAAATCGCTGTTGACGCCAGTATGAGCATCTATCAATTTCTTGTATGTATTCTTTCTGTCACCAATTACAGTATATTTGCATGCATTTCTGCATAGTTATGCAGGTTTTAAATTTAAAGTGTTGTGAACATTATGCATAGATTGTGGTGGGACGAAGTGGGTCTGATATGCTCACAAATGAGGCTGGTGAAACTACGAGGTAACCTTTCCCATGTCTTTTTGATGGATAATGTGATTTAAAAACTACTTAAATTGGATTTTGTCTATATTATTTGAAAACTGTCATATCTTGTTGTGGCGAACAATGCAATGCCATTATGTTCGGTTCTTTATAGTATATATCAAAATCTTATATATGATATGTGATCTTATATTCTTAACCAAAATCTTACAAACATGCTCTATATGATTGATTCCAGTCACTTGGTTGGGATGTTCTCTCGGACAATTAGGCTTTTGGAAGCCGGTATAAAGCCAGCGTGAGTTATCACATTATATTTCTTGCAGGCTTGTGTTGCAGGTAGTAGTAATATCGAATCCTTGCCTCACTTTGAGTTCTCTTACCTTTGCATGTCAGATATGTTTTTGATGGGAAGCCTCCGGATTTGAAGAGACAGGAGCTCGCAAAGCGGTAGTGTAAATCTTTCTATACTTGGAAAATTGCATCTGGACCTTTGTTTAGCTTCATCGATTCACAATTTGACACTATATTTTTATGCAGTTACTCAAGAAGGGAAGATGCGACAGCTGGCCTAGCGGCTGCAGAAGAGGTTAAGTATTAAATGAATAATGCTGTTGCAATAAACGGGCAGTTGTCCTGTATTTTCTATAACCAGCAGGCACTTTGAGGGAGGGGAAAGAAATTGATAACCGTCTAAGATTTGCATTAACATGGTTCTTTTAATCACTAATTGCAGACTGGCAATAAGGAGGACATTGAGAAGTTTAGTAAAAGAACTGTAAAGGTTGGTTCTTTTATGTCTTGCTGCCCATTATGTATGAATATAACCTTGGGTATTTTGTCAACTGCAGAGTGCTGTATGACAAGAGTAGTAGTCCTCTGCTATCTTTGTTACTTGACTTGCTTCATGTACTTAAATATTTGTTTGTCCTAGCGTATTTTTTATGTATTTACTCCAAAGCAAGAAGTTGAGTCAAACATTTGAATTTTTTGAAAGGCTGTAAGATTTCTATCATAGGAAATAACCTCCTTTTTCGAAGCTCCAAAGTTAGAGGCTTTTGTAAGGAAAAAAAGAAATTCAAGAAGCTCAAGTTTGGCTAACTGAGCACTTGGATTTTATAACCATATATGGCTAAGTAATCCCAAACTTCTTCTTGAGCTATTTATACATTGTGAAATAACTTGCCTAAATGAAATTTTATGCCATTTCACGTCATATTATCAGATTTGAAATATAACTTATGCAGATGACACTTGCTGAGAGCTGTAGAGGTCTCCTGTGTTTTAATATAACATTTCAAAGTGCAGTTCAGTGTAGACTATGTGGACTTCGGTCTTTCAACTCAAATCAGGAGCTGTTGATGGTGTGATTTAGCCAGTAAAACAAGCATGTTTATTACTTGTAACTGAAATGTTAAAGAAACACGATACATTGTATTATATGTGGCTATTTAATTATGTAAGGCACCAATGCATAGATATGCACATTCCATTGATATTTTTTCTTGGATTTGCAGGTTACACAGCAGCACAATGATGACTGCAAAAAGCTTCTTAGACTGATGGGAGTACCGGTGGTTGAGGTGACAACATAATTTTTAGCTGTTTCATGGTTCAAAGTATTTTCCAAAGAACTTACTTACCTTAACGTTCTTTGGTATTTTGTTGTAATTTGTTTTCTCACATTCGTCTCTTAGGCTCCTTCTGAAGCTGAGGCACAGTGTGCTGCACTATGCAAGGCTGATCAGGCAATTGTCCTACTTTACTCTTTACATGCAAATGATCAGTTCTATTATCTTTATAGTCTAGGGTAGTAAAGTACAGTTAGTAAGTAATTATAGCTAGAAACTAGTCATGGGTTTCTTGTGTCGAAATTGAGTGATATAAAGGTTCTTGATCCTCCAGGCTGTGAAATGATCTTGGGTTTGCAGAAGGAAGTTCATTTACTGAACATATAATGTAATGTTAAAAGGAAACAAACCTGTTCCGACATTTCGTATGTATACTACATTGTAATTCTGAATTAGCTGTAGGAGAATGAATGGTTTTTTACACATTTCAGGTTTATGGCGTGGCCTCAGAAGATATGGATTCCTTAACTTTTGGAGCTCCAAAGTTTCTTCGCCATTTGATGGATCCTAGCTCCAAAAAGATACCTGTAGTGGAGATTGAAGTTTCAAAGGTACTGATTTCACTGAAAAATTACTTGTGTGCTGATATGAAATTGACTTTTATTTACTGCCTCTATTTCAGGTCATAGAGGAATTAGAACTTACAATGGACCAGTTCATTGACCTGTGCATTCTATGTGGATGTGACTATTGTGATAGCATACGTGGTACCTAAATACTTTGGGATAACTGTTTTATTTGGTCGGTCCGCTGCTAGTCAATATTGACATATTCTTTCTGATGCCCTTTTCCTTATTCCCTTTCCGTTGTAACTCTTATGGTTCAGTATTTATGTTTCTTTCTAGAGACCAAGCAAAAAGCATACAATTAGTTATATTTTCGGAATGTGGTTTATTTCGCTTATATACAACCAACTCTGATGATATTTGCGGAATGCACAGGCCATCCTGTGCATGGTCATACATGGGAATGGGATGTGTTGTTTTTGATCATGTCTTATGTACAAATGTTATATGAATGTGTATTATTTCGCTTATACTAGTTGCATTCATATGTTAATATATTTCATGCTGTATGATTCCAGAATAAATTCTTACGCAGGTATTGGGCCGCAAACAGCTCTGAAGCTTGTTCGCCAACATGGCTCGCTAGAAAGCATATTAGAGAATATTAACAAAGAAAGGTGCTTCTCTTCTTTTAATATGTGAAATATCTATCCAGAAGTAAAGTTTGAGATAAAGTTTTCTCAAACTTGCAGGTTATATGATATTCTATAAGAGCAAACTGTGTAACTGTTTCATATTATAGCTATTACTACGTATTACCTTTTGGAGGGTTCCCCATGGACTCAAGAATATGAGGCAGAGTATGCTGACATTAATCATTTGACTACAAAAGTAATCATTTGAAAGATGCCTTGCATGTGAACTCAGCAATGTATATGCTGAAATTAAACTCAAACTCTTTTGTTATTCCACTTTCCTGTACTCGCTTATGCGAAAACTTAAATATTGCATATATTTAAAATCTAATTTCCTTTCAACATTTTTGTAATCTTTATGCAGATACCAGGTACCAAATGAGTGGCCATATGAAGAGGCTAGACAACTTTTTAAGGATCCGTTAGTCCTAAAGGGCGATGATCAACCGGAGCTTAAATGGGGTGCTCCAGATGAAGAGGTGGTTTTATTTCCTTTGAAACTTCAGTTCATTTAACAAGTGACTGAATCCTTCCGTTATAGGTGCTTCCATGGCCCCTCAATTGCCAGCGGAGTAGCACTTTGACCCTTTCCTAGAGGAAGCACTAATATTTTATCAACACTACACAAAAACACATAACTGAAACACTTATAACACCTATACTTTTCAATTGACTAAGAAATAAAACTAGATACTATAACATGTCATGAATTGTGTGTTTAAACTAAGTTACAGATATATTATATTTAATGTGCTCCTCCTTTTTACTATTCCAAGACCTTCCACGTTCCTGGTTAGAGAGAGTTACCTTCCTCGATAGAAATGCTTCACAACTCATTGCAACTATGTTTTTGAACACTTTACAACTTCATTACAACTCCTTTTTACACTTTCCTCATGCTGAAGCACATAGAAATGCTGTAAGGCTGTTGTACATGTATTGCAAGGTCTAAAGTGACCTAATATAGCATCAACTCTTGAAAACATTGTTGAAAATTTTGAATCCAAAATCTGGAATTCACTTGAATGAGAACATTTGGTCCCTTATTGGAACACCTGGAAACTTGAGCACCTATGATGCACTCAATGGCTTAATTTAACAATTTTGCTCTCTTCATGCTGAAGCACATAAAAATGCTGTAAGGCTGTTGTACATGTATTGCAAGGTCTAAAGTGACCTAATATAGCATCAACTCTTGAAAACATTGTTGAAAATTTTGAATCCAAAATCTGGAATTCACTTGAATGAGAACATTTGGTCCCTTATTGGAACACCTGGAAACTTGAGCACCTATGATGCACTCAATGGCTTAATTTAGCAATTTTGCTCTCTTCATTGAAGCACTTAACATGTTCAGTTCCTCCATTGGAGTTTTTGAAGGCTTGAACACTTTGCCACTTGGCTTCCCTCATCGGAGCACTCTTTAAGACGTGTTTCTTTAGTAAATTTTCGTCAATGTTAGTCAATTGAATGCTATTTCCATTCAATGTAGCCTCAAAACATCAAACTTTTTGGGTCAGGATAACGTTTTGAGGTGAGAGGGGCCACGGACAAGGTCATCAAGAAAATGCTCCAAAAATTTGAAAATCGCTTCTAGCTTTGCATTGCCGTTGTTCAGGCAAAATGCTTTGATACCATGTTGAGATACTATATTACTATCACAAGTTCACAACAACACTGGACTTTTATTAATATTACTAAAGAAAATATAAATCATATACATATTACACTCTACTTCCCAAATGACTAAACAATGTTCCTATGGTAATAAAACTGGGCCCTCTAATGTGTTGTGTTCTGTACTTCTGTTATTAGCTAGCTAATATGCTTGTATGCGACTTTATTGGACTTTCTAGCCCCCCACCCTTTGCACGACATCCAATTTTTCTTAATATCAACACCTTCCACAGTCCTTGTTAGAATGAGAATTACTTTCCTCAATAGTGTGATAGTGTCAACTTTACAACTCATTACATCTCTGTTTGTTAATATTCTACAGGCATGTTATGTAGTTATAGCTCTATTTTAACACACAGAAAGCCTAATAGATGAATTTCAATTTCAAGTCATCTTTGTTAAGTACATCTGTACATGGAATATGGAGTAATGTGAATCCTCTGGGGGGTTAATGTAGAGTGACGCAGAAATAGGGAAATTTTCCCAGTAATGGCTTGTATTCAATGAAGAAGTTTATCATGCCTGAAGAACGTGTAGGGTGCCTAGACAATTGGCAATCAAGTTATGTATGTGAATCCACAATCTTCGTTATCGACTTGATAAAAACTAGAGTATTTGGGATTCTAGTGAACATCTACAAATCTAAGACCCCAAACCAAGTCACCAACACATGCCATGTGCACAATAAAACAACTTTATAGGTGTGAAGGTGATCACATATCTTATGCAGCCTTATATAGGTGTGTAAACTAGGGTAAAAAAAGAAAACCAAACACTGATGTTACTAAAAGGTCCCAAAACTCATGAGAATAAAACAACTTTAAACTGGGAAAGTGATAACATAAATTTAGGAAACATAAATAAAGTAAATCCTAGCTATTAAGGGTCTAGTGATCGCTCACAAGAAGCATCCAATGCAAGATGGATAAGCATTTTGTCCAAGACTCCAAGTATGCAGCCTCGTGCGTTGGTTGAACATGTGAATCTTCAACTATCTGAGTAGACTCTATCTGCATAATAAAATCACATCTCTGCCTTTCCCATTGTAAGGCAATTACTTCCTATCTGTTCTTATTATCTGCTAACTCATGAGAATAGCCTCTGGTTGGGCTTCCTCATGAGAATATATCAATTAGGTCGCAGGGACTTTATCGGATTAATAGGTCTACATAAATTGAAAAATTCCATTAAAGTAAACCTTTGATCTTCTTGGTCATAGATTATGTACTTGCCTCAATAAGTTAATAGAGATGTTTAAATATCACGATTTGCATGGACCTTGTTGGACCATAAAAATTGGCCAAATTATAAGCTTTTAGAGCACACAATCTCAAATCTCATAAAGTATCAAAGGACAATCTTACAAGTTGGAGTATGTAAATATTTACATGTTGGAATGACATAAAGTCTAAGCACTCTCCTCCTAAACATTTGAGTTAGTCCATTTCACTCGATGTTTTACCATTGAATAACAAAATTAGACGGAAACATGGAATCATGATGTTTTGGCTTTTAATCATAGAATTCAAGGAGAAAAAAGTGAGTTTTGCTCAATATATAATATCATTACCATTATTGTCTTGTCGTCATATCTATCCCAACTATATTAGGTCAGTGACATGAAATTTAAATTGTCAATTAAATATATAAATCAAGCTAACACCATATATTCATTAAAAAAGTCACAATTTTGTTTCAGATGTCTTACTTGGTGCAACTTGGAAACATTTTACTAAGGAATACTGAGATGAAATTCGAAAACCATGAATTCAAGATGGCTGATAATGCTTCCTATGTTGGGGGATAAAAACAGTTTACATTTAGGATGGCTGATAATGTTAATGAGATGAAGTTTCAAAACCTTATGATGGTTGATAATGTTTTGCATTTCAATCAAAATTTTCCAACAAAATGTGGAGGCACACATAGCTGCATGACTAAGTTGGGTATTGCTGTTGACTATATTGAGGGACCAGAGATGTCATTTAAACTATTTAATCTGTTTTCATTGTATTGATGATTATGCAAACTATTTTTTTACTTAGCTTTCTTTCTTTATTATCTTTTAGGGTTTGGTTGAATTCCTGGTGAACCAAAATGGTTTCAACATTGACAGAGTTACAAAGGTGTGAATGACATCAAACTATCAACTGCTCATGCTATGTGTATTCACTTGGACACAAAATAGAAAATAAATTATGTTGAGTTTGTTTCTGAAAGTCCTTAATTCTGTCATGGTCTTTTTTAGGCAATAGAAAAGATAAAGGCAGCCAAGAATAAGTCTTCTCAAGGGCGGTATGGCTTGCTTGCATAAAGGGACCAATCTCTCAGTTTTTGTTTTATCTGTTATGATAATTTCTAACTCATGATAATATGTTCATCTCTACCTTTCTGACCAGGTTAGAGTCATTCTTCAAACCAGCTGCTAGCATATCAGTACCAGCCAAAAGAAAGGTACCGCCGTACCGTTTGCATTAAGAGCTTTTTCCTTTAAAAAACAAAACAAAATTAACTATAATGTTTGAAAGAGACTAGTCAATTTGAATGTGTGCATCTGGATGTTTTTTGAGTTGTATGAAATCTGTGCTCCTGCTTTATATATTGCACAGTTCCATGTAATAGTGAGAGAAGTTTGAATGCTTATGCTGCTATGCCCGTGCTAGTGTCTGAGGGCCTTGCTATGTCACCAATTATTTCCTTCATCTGGGATTGAGAGAATTAAATTAATAGCATCCACCTTTTCATCACACTATTCCTTTCCTCTTAAGTTGTGGGTTTTGAATCTTTCTGTTTGTTATACTACAAACTAAGTTATTTTCTTGATTTTCCCTCTGGTTCTATAATTTCTGTTGACATTGATTTATGCTTTTGGGTGAACTACTATCTTGTGACAAAAAACATGAGTTTTAGGAGAGTGGTTAAGCCACACGATTGTAAAGACAAGAAACTAAAATTTGAAGAATAAGCATTCCTGTTGGACATTCTTTCTATTTTCTAAAGCCTGATTGAAATGGCAAATTAGAAGATCCATGTTCTGTTGTTAATTCTACACGTGTATGTTTCCTTGACATCTTCTATATTGACATCTCAGGGAAGAGCCAGATGTGTTCTTGTGTCTTTGATTCCTGTAACAAAGTTTAGAATGTTCTCTATACAAGCCTCCTTTATGCCAAAGGGTCTTTTGCATCCTAATCTCACGATCCTTAGATTTGATCATTCAAGTTTAAACTACTCCATGCTGTTTAACAAAGGTGTCTGCTTCAGCATATGAAACTGTAAACCCTGATGATCCTCCATCTTAAGTGCATCTTTGGCTAGGATATACAGTCTTCATTAAGGCTGTACTGGCTATACATACGACTAACTTACTATTTTAACTAACCGTCGCCAATGCTTTTGAAGTACAAAAATACAAATACCATACATGATTGTATTTTGAGTTTGGACTCCTTGATGTTTTATGAACTACTTGGGCTCTTTTTAGAACCCGTAAAATACTGTGTAAAATATAGGAAGGAAAGCGTTGAGCAAATTTGGATGAAGAAAATTTGAGGAAAATAGAAACATTAGTTCAAACTCAGTTAATTTGATCTTAAAATGGTTTGAGTTCAGTTATATCTATCAGTTAATTTCATTTTCCTTTGCATTTGACTTCCCACTTTCATTGGCATTTTATTTCCTTCCCGTAGCATTTTCCGCGATCTAAATATAGCCTTACTTATCTGGATTGCCTGGTATGATCTATGGTGGAACACACAAACTGAGTAATCTAATCAATTGATGTCTTATTCAATGGCAGGAAACAACCCAGAATGCTGAAAAAGGAGTGGCAAACAAGAAACCAAAAGCTGTTGGGGGTGGGAGGAAGAAGAAGAAATAGTCGGTAGTAAACTGAACAAGGGTGATGATTTTGAAAAGGTGATATTAACCCCATTATATGGATTCACCAGAGATGGCTTGATTTGGAAGTCATACTTGAAATGGATGTGTTGAGGGCCAGTTAAATTAAGTTGCTAAACATGCAGCGATTGCTCCCAACACGATAAGTTGTGGATTTATTGTGATTGGTTTCCTTTGTTTCTTTAGACAAGCTCTTTAATTTCGTTCTTTATGTCTTGAAGTATATTAAGTTGCTAGCTAATGAAAACTATCCACAAAAAGTAAAGCCTTATACATGTACTTTAAAGGAAGGGAAAGGGAAAGGGAAAATAATTTTTTTACATTACAAAATCTGAAGTATATTAAGTTGCTAGCTAATGTAATTTTTCCATCATTTGCAATGGAGCCAAAGATTCATTATTTTTTGGCTTGAGATTATGATGGAATAAAGCAAAATGACTCACTAAACTGTCTGCGCTTCTTTGTTATGGAGCAGCAGTCAATCCATGCAATTTTGGACGCGATTTTCACTATGGATCATCCGAAAATAGCCTCTCTGTGCTTTAGTACAGGAGTAAGACTGCGTACATCTGACCCTCCTTTACCCTATCGTAGGTGGGAGCTTTTGCGGCACTGGAGTAATTGAAAATGAAATGACAATGTAAATTAATTTGAATTTGGTACAGTGAACTTGGTGAAATAAATATTCTTAAATTTACGTAAAACTGATAAAAGGTGAATTTAGAATGGTTATTTGGCTAATTAAACAGCTGATCGGGCAATTAGATCAATTTAAAGTGCAATTGTTCCCATTAATACTAAGGGAATATTGGACCTTGCACCCAAATTGTTTAAAAATATTTGAGAATGCATGAAGGCGTCAATGCAATTCTCAGAGTATTTGCTTTTAGTATTTTAGGAATGTAGGAAGGCAGTCACCAGCTTATAGGATGTTTTTACTAGGACCCTAATTCATCTCAGATCAGACCAGATTAAAACAGATCAGTTCAGATCAGACTTGGATAGTTATTAAAATACAAAGAAACCAGACCAGTACAGATCAGACCAGCAAATTACGGTCCAAGTAAAAACATCCATAGTCCAAAAATTATAATCCAAAAATTATTCAGAAAATGGACAGAAATTAGGGTTTGTTCAGTGAGGGCAAATAAAACAACCTAACCACCTCTTGGGTCACGAAGATACGTTGTTGCACTCTCTTGGGATTTCGGAGAATCTGAACTCTAAAAAAATCTCAAAAAATGAATCGAACGTGGTGTTCAGTTAACAAAGGTGTGGATGACTAACATCAAGAGCTGGGACTTGGGAGTAGACCTGCACAAACACGGGCTCGGGCTCGGGCCGGGCTTATTCTAAAAAATCTGCCCACTTGTAGTGGGCGGGCCCGGCCCGGCCCGGTAAAACGGGCCTCCTCATATGTCCAAGCCCGCCCATGAGAGCGGGCCGGGCTGCCCACCGGGCTTTTAGGCCCGAAAAATATCCTTTTGTCAACTTTGTTAAAAAAATGAAAATATTTATAAAATAACATCACAACATTTTAAATGCAATTAAATAATTAATGTACTCACAACACATTTTGAACACAAGAATACGTTTAAATGCAAAACACAAAACGATTCTGGAAAATAAAAAGCATCCAAATTCCAAATAAGCATCCATATTCCATAATTAAAAGCACAATCATGGATTCACAATGTGCAGTGGAAATAGTTAAGATTATCTTCAAAAAGACTTAACAAATGTATATCATTACAGTTCAAATTTAAATAGTAGAACACAGTAAGTAATTGGTATCCCAAGATTCCAAGAACTTCTCGACACTCCTTCATTTCACCAGAAAGTAATTGATCTCCCAGACTGCTCTGCCAAGTGCCAATAAATATCAAATAATGAAAACCAAATATTATTTATAAACCAAGTAAAAACATTGAGATAATGAAAACTACTATATTGTGATTTCTGAATCTTACCGTCTGTGAAAGAGAAGCATTGTCTTACACTAGAGTAGCATTTCATCTTCTTCATCCTCGTTATCATTCGAACGTCCATCACCAATCTTGAACATACTTGTGGAACCTTACAAGTTAAAAAAATGGAAAATAATGACACTTGTGAATAATGACATGGTAATGAAAGTATACTTCCAAGTATTTTAAGTTTTATATGTATAGTCATATAATGTATAATTATATATAGAATAATATATATAATATAATATATAAAATATGTTTACGGGCCGGGCTTTTAGGCCCGAACGGGCCTATATTACAACCCAAGCCCGCCCATATTTTAAACGGGCCGGGCCGGGCCCGGCCCGGTGGGCTAAAGCATGTGTCCAAACCCGCCCATTTATATGGGCGGGCCGGGCGGGCCGGGCGGGCCGGCCCGGAATTGTGCAGGTCTACTTGGGAGTCAGTTAGGAGATGGGAACGTGAAATGCAAGAAGACAAGACTGAGTCGTCAAGTCTTCAACTTTGACAAGTACCGATTCCGGAACTCTAATCTCCTCGAGTCCTACCAAGCTAGAGATTGCTCCAGTTTTATTATGTTTTTCTCGATTTCGGTTTCGTTGGGTGTAATAAGGTTAAAATATATTACCAAACTCAAACCAATCTGCATATGACTCGATTTCGCTTCGATTTGGTACCATTCAGTTAAATCAAACCGCCCACCCGACTCCTAGTTTAAACTTTAAAGTATTCAGTAGTATCTTGAATTCTTGGGCAAGGTTTAAAACATCACGTGTTTTGAAACAAATAACTCTTCCTATAAAAAGGTTAATTTAGACTATTACTCTCATTTCTATTCAAATTGAATACTACTCCCTCCGTCCCGCTAACGATGAGATAAGATGAAGTGACAAACAAATTAATTAATAAAAAGTGGTTTATGTGGTTGATATTGAATTTATATAGTAAGAATAAAGTAAGAATGATTTAGAATCACACAAACTTTACCAAATTTGATATGAGACAATCTTAGTGAGATGAACCGATAAGGTATAACGGGACAATCATAGCAGGACAGAGGTAGTACTTGTCAAAGGCTAAGTAGGACAAAGCCCAGACTTCATCCATAATCTCCGAACTCCTAGTCATAATTAATTTACTCAATAATACTCGTATATAGTACTCTCTCCGTCCCAATTTGATTTGCAAAATTTCCTATTTTGGTTGTCCCAAAATGGTTTTCCACTTTCTATTTTATGTACGTAAATAAGAATAAAGTAACAAATTTACCTTTGCTTTTACTTTTTCACATTAACTTAAAGACATCTACTTTTAAAAAGATGCTCAAAAGTGTAAAAAGCAAGCATTATTTATTATCATTCATTAATCCTTGTGTCGGTCAAAGTTTGCAATTCAATTAATTGACTTTGACTCATAGTTTATAGAATGTAACATTGGTGACGTTATAAATCAATTGACTTAGTACTCCGTATTTGATTTGAGAAAAAGTTGATTCTCCAAACTTGGTATAAAATGAAAATTGAAGATAAAAACTAAACAAATTACTCCCTCTGTCCCACTGGTGACTGGACTTTGATAACCAGGGCCGGTGATGGAAAAATAGAGACCCTGTGCGACAAAAGATAAGGGCCTTTCTTTCCAACACTAAGAGAAATAGAACATAAATAATAATAATGGTAATAGTAATACATTACAGTAAACACGGTTAAAATTCAAGTTAATATTGAACATAATAACAAAAACAAATGTATTCATTAATAAAGTACATTTCCTAAAAAAGGAGACATTTATCGAGCATATTTAGATGCAAAATCATCTACCAAACTTTCAATGTCGATTCTCTTTGAGTGTTTCAAATTCTATGGATACCAACACCAATTCATTGAGTGTCTCTTGTGACATACTTGACCGCAAGTAGGACTTCAACAACTTCAACTTGGAAAAACTTCATTCTGCTGAGACAACTGTAATCGGAATGGTTAGCAATACCCTATATGCAATAAGAGCATTTGGAAAACAACTCATTTGTTTCAAAGAATTTAATATTCTTATTGCTCCTATCTTTTCTTTTGGTGAAATCTCTCTAAGCAATTTCAGCTCAATATACAAATCATGATCATCAATATCACTGCATTCTTCATTCATCTGAAGAACTATTTGTAAACGAGTGCAACAAGCTTTCTGATGGACTATATGGACTCCGACCCCCCGGTATGCCGACTACTGGGTCTGGACAGTGGTCCACACACGTTTAGCGGATTCATATTATTGTACATTATTATTAAGATGTTCTAGAATAGCTTTTTATACTATCAGTCCATTTATGTAACCGGGTCTATCAGGCCCATATTAGAGGCCCATACCCGGATTTTCCCTATATATACTCCTTATAGGAGGTTTGTAAACCATAACAAATATTCATTAATTCTATACACTTTCATTATTTCTTCTCCATTCTTGTTCAATCTCTCCTGTTTATACAATATGGGTATCAATTATCCAACAATGGTGTTCTCGTTGAGAGGTTGAACACAATCAAGTGAGAAAACCTCCCCAAATAACCAAAAATCATTCCAATCACAAAAAAACCCAGCCATAAACTAATCTGGAAATTGCCAAAAAAAAAAAAAAGAACAATGTGATGAATCTGCCACTTCAGATCGGAGAGGTCCCAGCTCTGACCGGAGATTGGTCATCGTCCAAGCCATCGCTGGAGGTCGCCGTCAAGATCTCACGTGCACTGCTTCAGGACACGTCACTGCTTCCGGATCTGATTCTCCAAGGATGGTCCGTCATCAATGGCCGCCTGGGATCACCTAGAAGAGATGAACGATCCCGCGTCCAGTTTCTCCACCTTCGCCACAGTGACAATCGACGCTTGAAGTTTGCTTCTCCACCAGTTCCGCCGGCCGCAGGTCCACACCAGTCTAGTGAGCCCTCCATTAATGGCCACAACAATTTCCCTATGCAAAGATTTCAGTCCAGATCTCGACGGAGATAGGGCAAAATCGTACGGAGCAGCAACAGTCCCAATGAATCTCTTCCACTCTCCGACGACGATTAGCGACACTTACCGGCGATGTTTCCAAGCATCCAGCCTCCTTTACCAGTGGTGTCCGTGCACGAGACCAGTAAGCTTAACACGGAAGTGGCCATAAGCTTCTTCACCTCGCCATAGTTTCTGTCATGAATGGCCACATCAAGCTCCCTTCGCAAGGTTTCCGCTCCAGATCTCGCTGGGGACAGCCCAGTGCCCAGTGTCGCACGAAGCAGCAACATTTCCAACAAAGATGATGTTTTCAAGCGCATAGCGGCCCGGTACAGCAACGTTCATG